TGTTGCATGAATACGACTTTTAAAAAAATGTACCAACAATGCCAATCATTTGCCCAGGAAAGCCCCACTAAGTCTCAATACTCTCTTTTCAAGAGGGTCCTGCTAAGTTTGGATGTTTGGCCGTGAATTCCATGCATTAGCCTTTGGCTTTTGGAGGTGGTAGGAGAAAACCACCACGCTTACTAGGAGGTGGCACTCAGCGCTGCCATCCATCTCCTGCCCATACCCTCGCAGCCCCATACCTACAACAAACACCTGGCAAGCCTCGGTGGTTCATCCAAGTACCAGCCCTACTGAACCCTGCTTGGCATCCGAGACCCGGTGAGATTTGGTGATTTGGTCGAAGGCAAACCTACAAGTAATTAGAGGCCGACCGAAATTCGGTTTCGGCGCCGAGAGTTGGCAAATGGCCTCTTTCGGCATACTTTCGGTCAATTTTTAACTTTCGGTCTGGTTTCGGTTTCGGCCGAAACTGATATTGACTTTCGGTCGTCATTCGTCAACCGAAGATCTATTTTTAGAATAGAATGCTAGTGCTATGTCTATCACTCTGCCTATTGGCCGGTCAGTCGGCGCTAGGCAATCCTATGCGATAAGCTGCAAACACACATACACGTCAGCAGCAGCAGCTTGGGAGCGAGGTTACAGCCGCAACCATGGTCTGCTAATGTATATACGACCGGTCAACAGACGGCAGCCTGTCTGGCTGAATGCGGAAAAACTGTTGTTTCTTAACTACGACATTCGTTTGTTTGGATATAATTACTAAGTAAGTAACACCTAAAGATTTGATATTTAGCCACCCTTACTGCAGGCTCTGAATGATTAGGTCTAGATTTATTTTTAATTAAAGTAGAATTGCATCATGACATTTCATAAATCTTGTGTTCGATAACTTCGGTTATATACCTTTCGGTTTCGGTCTTGGTCGAAAGTGTCGTTAACCTTTCGGTTTCGGTTTCGGCCGAAAGTGATTTTTTTACTTTCGGTCTAGTTTCGGTTTTGGCCGAAACCAGAAATTCAGTTTCGGTTGGCCTCTACAAGTAATGGATACGTGTGTTGCTGTGTCAGTGACCCCACATGATGAAAAATAGATTACGTTAAACACATCTATTTATGGGTTTGCTTACTCAGATGATGGCATCGAGACAGTTCAGTCGATTAGACTCAGAAAATTGAATAGTTTGCTGCACTTAAAATGCTCCATCGTGAAGGTGGATGGCTGTTGCATATATATACATGTATTACTGGTAGGAACCTCCTGGTTACACCAGCCCACAGGGGATTATTGTGTCCGTCAGTCCGTCGTACATCCAAAAATGGGAGGGTGGGGCTGGGTGGAGAAGGGAGGCTGGGGAGGGGCTGGGATGGGTGGGGAGGAGCTGGGTGGGGAGGGGAGGGTGGGGAGGGGCTGGGTGGGGAGGGACTGGGTGGGGAGGGTGGGGCTGGGTGGGGGGTGAGAGGTGGGGCTGGGTGGGGAGGGGCTGGTCACCCTGTGGTGCCCTTATAAAACTCAACGTTTAACCTACTCACGCCGGTTGTGCCCGCCCTCACAATCGGGCATATTTGCGGAATACACCACGCCGCCGTTGACCCTGGCCATTGACCGAGCAACCCAACGTTCCTACCAGCTCCCTCCGCAGGAATGTGTTAAATGGTAGCTCAGCAGCAGTTGCTTAACAAGGATGATACTGCTGATGAGTCTTATAAAGCTTGAACCTTGTCCAGAGTGTACCTGCTTAAACAAATGCTGGAAAACATTGGCCTTGAAGGCCAATAGGCCAATCTACCAAACTATATTGCACGTGGAGATACGTTGTACATTATCTACTTGCAAATCAAACATAAGCCATATGAAATATCCCATAGACCGGTCATCAAAACATCGATATTCTATTTATACGTCTTTTACTTAATCTGCTATTGTACAATTTGTATGATAATAATATGTAATTAGTTTGTTTAATCCGTGGTAAATTGCCCTTAGATGTGTCACATTCACGGCATGTGGGTGATGTATATAATACAGTACATGGAATACGGTAAAACCACTGTACGATAATTGGGCAATCCTTCACACAGACTGACGCCTCTGAGATAAAGAGCAGGGAGGAGGAGGAGGGAGCCAGAGGGAATTCTGAAGGCCAGGCGGGGCTGGGCACAGGAAGTGTCCACGAGTCCTGTGTTCGCCGCCGTGATGATGGCAATGGGTTGATGGTGGGGGTCTGGGTCAAGTATAACGAGTGTACGTGTGCGAGGTGGGACGTGTGTGCTGCACGCCCAAAGGTCGGGCCGAGCGAGCGGTGCAGCGTTGCGAAGTGCCCACCACCCCTATCTGGGATCACGCCGAGATGGATTTCGGGTGGGTGGGTGTTCAACGTCAGCGTCATTCTCAAAGGCAGCCTTTTCCCCTCTCCCAACATCACCGCCACCTCCCTTCCCCGTGGGCGTCGAGGTGCCGTACCCTCGTTTGTCAGAAGGCAGTACAGAAAGTTGACTAATCTCCATTTGTTTCCATGTATAAGTGGGTTCGAATGTTGCATCTTCGCACGCGTGGGCTCTGTTCCGTGTACTCCGGTTTCCTCCCACTTGTATAAACAACTCATAAATTGGCTGAAAACATCTTAAACAAAAAAAAAACCTATGCAGGACCCTCCTTGGACTGAGTGTATACTTTCCTGCATAAACACGTTATACTTATTATTTCTTGGTTAAATTAAATAAACTTGAACTTGCCGTAGCAGGCGCGGGGTGTGCTAGATTGGCAGTGTGGCCCGAATTATCCAGCTCCGGCTTTGACTACCGCCACAGCCTCTGCTCCAATCACTACCACCACTGCTACAGATATGAATGCATATTTCAGCAGTCAGTGGTTGGCTGACACGCTCCATGGTGCAATAAATTACATTAAAAGTTACCGAAACTCCAACTTAAAAAAAAACTATTCACGGAGATGAGACTTGATCTGACAGCCTGCTGGCACTGGAGTCAAGTGTGTAAACTGCGACTGGATAGGTAGCAGTACAAAAGGGGGAAGGAAGGGGGGGTGGTCCAACTTCCCTCGTTCTCCATGGGTAGCCCGGACAATTGGCCCCGGTGCAATTGCACCGCCTTCACACTCGACAAGCCACGCCACTGAGCAGCACTGTGTCCATGTTGGAAGCGCAGAGGCGTTGGAACACCGACCAACGCGACATGCGTACGAGTGGCAGGGCAATGCATGAACACGTACGTAAGTTACAATCACTTTTGAGTGTTTCTCTCTCTCTCTCTGAGAGAGTACAAGAAAACCGTGGCCATGACCCTTGTACCTGCACGCATATCGATACACCGTATGAAATAACCATAAACCAGAATACGAGTTATACGGCTATATACAGAGGCCCCCTCATTTTCAGTGCTTCCGTTCATAAGAATTGTGACACGTGTAACTTTCAGGCAGCTGGCATCGCGTGGGTGAGTTTGTGTGTCCATGTGGGGAGCGGTGGTGCAGCGGTTCGCGCACTGCGCTATGAACCCGGCGACCCAGGTTCAATTCAAGCTCATGGCCAACACCAGTGACGATTATCTGAACCGGTCATGGGCCTCCCCTAGGTCGACTCAGCCTCAAATGAGTACCTAGTGCGACGTGTAAACGTCGCCACTGGGGAGACAAAGGCGGTCGGGCGTGGTGCTGGCCACTCACCCCCTCGTGTACCTTTCCGGCCTTCGTAGGTGCTCGCTAACAGCACTTGCCCCTACAGTCTGTTAAGGATCTTTGTCTTTGGTGTGTGTACGTGGGCATACAGTACATGTGTATAATGTTTACGGGGCTTCATTTGTCACTGAGTATTTTCTGAAGCTCCCCCGTCGTGGCCTTCCCGGCCACATCTAACATCTGTGGCAAATAACAGCTGAAGAAATGGGCTCGGCTCAATCATATCTGGATCTGCCCGGGGCTGAGATCCGGAAACAAATTATCTCCTCCTCCTGTCTGTTTGCAAGAGGGGGGCGGGAAGTTTCAAAGTTTGGTGGTTGGGCGGGGACTGGAAATGATTGTATGAAACATTAAGTTTACTGTCACTGGGGATACAAAGGCGACCGGGCGTAGTGTTGGCCACACCACACTCCCTAGCGCCGCGTGTGTGACTACTATGTCATGTAAATAATGCCTACACAGACGGCGCGTTGACATAATTCACAGTTTGTGAGCGTCCACTCGCCGTACCCCCAATTAGGGCCGTAGAGTCACTCACCACGCCACACACCACGCGGCCCCAGGCCGCTACGAAGAGACGGGAAAGCCCTCACCACGGCCGAGTTAGAGGTGGGCGATTGGGTGGATAGGTGGGTCAGCAAGTGGGTGACTTATAGTAAGGGAGAGTGGGTGACTGACATTCCTCTTCCTCGAAGGCACCGGTGGAACCATCAACCGCATAAGAACACCAACAGGTCGATACGCACATCACTTTCACGAGTATAAATTGAAAAACACGAGGCGCAATCGAGCGATTTGTGGCCATATAACCCAAACTATGGACCCATAGAGTAAACCACTTTAGTCTGCGCTCCTTCAACGGAGTAACAGCAAAACTATACGAACTCTCTCCTGAAGCAATATCTTGGCTCAGCAGGCCTCGGCATTGCCATTCAGCTCCTGAACAAATTGCCATACGCTAGCATAGTGGGTGAGTGAATGAGTGGGTGAGTAAGTGAATGAGTGGGTGAGTAAGTGAATGAGTGGGTGTGTGAGTGAATGAATGGGTAAGCCGGCGAGTGTGAGTCGGTGGGTGAGCGATCGGGTTGACTCGGTGAGTGAATTCGCGTGTCAGTAGACGAGTGGCTGGGTCAAGCAATGATTTATTTGGTGGATGGGTGGGTGGGCGAGTGAGTGGCTGGGTCATGAAGTGATGAGCTGAGCCGGTGAGTGAGGACGCGAGTGAGGAGGGAGCGGCTTGCGGGGTACGACCGGACATGGGGGCGCACCACCCACCCCCTACCACCCACCCACCCACATCCATCCCCGTCACATCCCAACTGAGCCGGCACCTGCCTCGCCCGGGCTCCCGGCTCTCTGATCCCCCCCCCCACCCCCCACTGTCAATTCCATCCCAGTGTCGACCTCCATCGCCCTTCCGAGACAGAGGAGCAGCAGCAGCAGCAGGGGAAGGGGGTGGGTGAGGAAGGTGGGAGGGAGAGGCGGGTGGCGGCGGATCGCCCCACAACAACAACACTTGTTCATCTGCTGCAAAGGCGCCCATGACCGTGGCCGTGCGATCATCATGAGCGAGGGACGAGGAGGCGGAGATCCGGGGCCGACCACCGGCATCAGCGGCAGCAGCAGCGGCGGCGGCATCAGCGGCAGCAGCAGCGGCGGCGGCGGCGGCAGAGATGAAGGGGGAGATCGGAACGGGGGCCCAGAGGAAGGGGAGCCGGCGTGGAGGGATGCCGAGAAGCGCTTCCACGCGCTGACGCCGACGCGCAGCCCGCGCACGGTAACCTCGGGGGGGGCTGGGGGGTCCGTGCACGACGAGCATCGGGATCGGGGATTGATTTGGAGGAGGAGGGGGGTTGGTTTTTTATTATGCAACACGTACGGAGAGGGAGCAGCAGATAGGTTTGAGATAGGCAATTGTGGGTCCGTGTGTGTGTATGCACGTGTGTATGCACGTGTGTGTATATGCACATGTGTGTGTATATGCACGTGTGTGGGTATATGCACATGTGTGTGTATATGCACATGTGTGTATATGCACGTGTGTGTATATGCACATGTGTGTATATGCACGTGTGTATATGCACGTGTGTGTGTATATGCACGTGTGTATATGCACACGTGTGTGTATATGCACGTGTGTGTATATGCACGTGTGTGTGTCTGCACGTGTCACTGTGCGTTTCTGTGCGTGTCTCTGCTATGGTTGTGTCACTGTGTCACTGGCGCGTTTGTGTGTCTATGTGTGATTATATATTTACGTGTGGCACTGTGCGTTTCTGTGAATATCTCTGCTATGGTTGTGTCACTGCGCGCGTGTGTGTCTGTTTATCTGTGTGACTGTATATTTACGTGTGTCACTGTTTTACTGTATGCGTGTGTGTCACTGTGTGTGTGTAGGGGATCTTTATCTTTGTGTAGGTGAGCGGTAGATTATCGGTGAGCGCGCTGCGCTAGGAACCCGGCGTCCTCAGTTCGATTGCCGTTCACGGCCAACACCGGTGACGATTATCTCCTCCCCTAGGTCGACTCAGCCTCAAATGAGCACCCGGTGCGATGTGTAAACATCGCCACGAGGGAGACAAAGGCGGCCGGGCGTGGTGTTGGCCACCCACTTGGGTGTGTGCTCACAGCACTTGCCCATAGTGGTCTGTTTAGGAGGATCGTTGTCTCTTCGCTTGCACACACGAACCACACGCAAAGCACGTTGTGAGTGCACTGTGTGAGTGTAACCCCGGGGTCTATTATGGTGCCGTGATGTCCAACGTAGGCAGACGAACGCTGAGCCAACGTTCCATCCCCCCCCCCGCCCTGGGTAAGGACAGAATGCCGCACATGTCCGATATTCACAACTCCTAATCCTGCCAGGTGACTTACATCACGCACCGCCACGCATTCGCCGATTCCCTTCACGCGTGGGGAGGATGGAGAGCCTCCACCATCCAGCAGTGGGTTGACACGTGGTAGTAACGCCCAGCGTGTTCACGACTGCGCGCGATTATCGATTACATTGGGCAGCGTGTAAGACGCACTATCTCCCTTTACCAGAGAGAAAGCAGTCGGCGTGTCTCTCTCAAAACGAACACGCCTTGTAGGGGAACTCCTCCATCATCACGAGTGACAGGGTTACCGTATTCCCCGGATTACAAGACGCACTGCCCCCCCACATCCCCCTTGATTTTAAAGCAAATTCAAGGGGGGTGCGTCTCGTAATAAGGATATGGCGTGTGCGTTCCTTTATTTTCTCTGTGTACAAGACCGCATTTGTTTCACTTTATTAACACCGTGAACGCGTTCGGAGGGCGTCTTACTTTCCGGAGAATATGGTAACCGACTTTGTTTAGCCTGGCCAAATATAGCACAGAGATGATATACACGCGCGCACGATCCCTCTTTAAAAATGCGTAAACGCATTAACGTGGTTTGTTAGGTGCAGGTTTGTTAGAAGTCACCCTTTATAAAATGAGTAATAGTGAGTGCAGTGGCCTCTAGTGGTTGCAGGGGTCACGTTACACAATGCAAGTTCGTAAATGTCAAGATTACTCCCGGGCTTTGATGCGATGGTGCTTATTTGCCTCTTTACAGCCCTGAGCCAGTGGTGGAAATTCCACCTTCCTTTTACAGGGGCGAGTCTATCCTATAGGACAACCGCTATTGACTCCCCCCACAAAGTGCTACTGTACTAATGCTATTCTCCACGCAGCGACGGATGATTGGCTGAGTCAACCCCCTTGGCCACTCATTACTCAGCCACCACGTGGACAAATCGAGAAAAACATCGACTCTCCCGAACCCCGTTCCGAGACCTGCGTGGTGAGGATAAGAATCGATGAGTCTATGCGCATCGTTACCACGACCTCATGACATTGCGAGTTCAGGTGCATGCCCAGCACGTGCAGCACACACGGCACCAATTCGGCCCTTTCACGTTCCTGGTCTCAATAATTATTGTAGAAAAAGTACAAATGTGTCTTCGTCTGATTCGACTCAGCCATCCGGGTTCGATTCCCAGCCCACGGCACTTGAAGTGTCGGAGCATTTCTTGGGCCACCCCTCGTTTGACACAGCCTTAGATGAGTATTTAATCCGGTTTATAAATACCATCGTTTTGGGGCACAAAGAAGGCCAAGAGTGGTGCTAGCCACACCACCCTCAAGTCAAGTGAATTCATTTTTGGTGAACACATTGGCACCTTTCTGCCACAAATATGGCACCCAAAGTGCTTTTCAAATAATTAAACATAAATACCCATCGGCCTTGATAAGTGCTCGCAAACAACAGTTTCCCCGAACAGTATTTAAGGCCATACGGGGTATCTTTGTGTTTTTATTCGTGGGGAACGGTGGCGAATTGGTTAGCGCACTGCGAACCCGACCCAGCTGGGTGAATGGCAGAGGCTCGTATTAGATCTCATCCTACCATATGTAAGGGAGGCTCTCCTTTACACATAGATCCCCTACTTCGACTCAACCTTAAACGAGCACCTGATGCTGTTGTCCTACACCAGCACTGGGAAAGCAACACAAGCCGCCCTCTCGTGCGTGCGTGTTGTCCTTGATAGGTGCTCGTTAACAACACGTGTCGTCTGGCGTGGGGTAATTGCGCGTAACGCTGCCACGTAGCGTGCGTGTACGTGAAGTCTTTTCATAATCCTATAATAACTCTGTTGACCAACCTCTGCTGGTGCGGATGCGTCGGTGGCGGCGGCTCTACGTGATTTCTGGCACATGCGCACGCGTGTGCGCACGTGCGCATGCTCACATGTGCTCACATGAACACGCTCACATGTGCTCACATGAACACGCTCACACGCAGAACCAAGGTCAGGAGGCCATTGGTGCCAATTCCGTTGATGCCACCACCCCTCTTCACGGGTTCCACCATTCTCATTGACCCTGGAGTTGCGGAGCCGACATCCGATACCTTTAAGGACCACACTTAGTCTCCATCCTAATCACCACCACCATCGTCACCACCGCCTGGCTTTAGGTCCTTCTTGGTCGCCACTCCAATGCCGTCTCTCTCGGTCACCTGTCCTCCTCCAACATTCTGTGCAGGTGTCCCACCCATCACAAACCTCCTACTCCTAGCTGATTACCGCTACAAATATCTCCTCCCACGTTTCTTTCCGAACCCCCAAGTTGCTCGTGTCCTATTCTTCCTTGAAATTCCGAGTGCCTGCATAACGCCTGCATTCAAAGACCAGAAGCTTCTATTATAGTTGCTTTGTTAAAGTGTAAATCTCTAAGCTATGCAACCCCCCGTTTTTTTTAAAATAAAGTCTCAATACTCGTTTTTTTTGCGGAGGATCCTTCATTTGAGATGTTTGGCAAAACCCAATTGCTGCTGAGTGTTGGGCACGTGGCAGGAAATCTGAGAATTAACCCAGCAGGGCGCTGTATACGAGGTGGGGGGTTGACACTCAGCACTGTCCTCTCCTGGCCACACCTCGCAAGTAGCCCCACATCTGCAACGCCTTGACAGTTCGCCTTGGTTGTCATCCCATGCAAAATACTGCTCTAACCAGGCTCAGCCCTGCTTAACGCCCGAGATCTGACCCTTTGCGGGTGACTCGGTCGTGTTTTCAAACCACCTTTATTTTCACGATCACAGCACCGGCAAACAATCTCAGTAAACACGGCAGCCTGCAGTCGGAGATGGCCCACCCCTGCGGTTGAAACCCATTAGCATTGTATCGTGTAGCACGCCCCGCCACCACCGCGGGTCGCGTGCAGGGCGATATTGGCTATGTATAGCAGCCCACAAACAGCACGATGCATAACCCTCACAGACAGCCGACAGCAACTGGCATCTGGATAATTTTAGGCTTGCCATTACCTGCTGGCACAGCTAACTGGGCAACAACAGGCGGCATAGCTCACTCTATCGCACCTCTATATATACACCTGAATGTTTCATAAGGCCATCGGACACAGAAATGTCATTCAAACGCCATATTCGAATGCTCGCTTTGGAGTCCATCATCGAGAGCCATGATCAATCCACTGCTGGACGAAGGCCTTCCCAAGCCGTCACCATCCCATCCATCTAATCTGCTGAGTATGATCTCATTTCATCGCTCCACCTCCTCTGTAGATGGCATCTCGCGCGTGTTGACCCCGCCGGCTCTCGCTCCGACGTTCGTCTCGACCGCCGGCCGTCATTCCGACTCTTGATGAGACGCCCTGCCTGGAATTGGGCTTTAAAAAAGTCTGTGCCGATGCAACTGTTATCGTTGTGGGCGATGCCCCGCGCAGGGTTTGTGTCTGTGTGTCTCAAATTTCCGACAATGTAATTGATTCGCTGCGTTATATAACGGCTTCTTGCCGTCTTGTTGCACAAACAGGTGGCGAGGGTTCGTGTAAGCAAACAATAGTTGGCTGGAGTTTGAGCTGATCGAGTGTCTTAACCCGAGCTGCACCACCACTGAACACCCTAAGATGACAATCTGCTCCTTTCGAAATGATATTATTTCGTCTTTGTTTTTTTGCTCGTGATGCCCCATTCAAAATATATTTTCCTTGTTTAAAAAAAAACAGCCATAGTCTCTTCGTGAATGTTATTCCAACTTGGTTCTCAGCATTGTGTTGTCATGAAACAAAGATATGTCAACTTCCAACTATCGCAGAGTGCAGTGGATTATCTCGTGTGAGAACATGGCATCAGAAAGTTGGTATCACGTAACAAATTAAGAAACTTTTTTTTAATCTCAGGACTCCCATGTGGTTCTAATGAATTGTTTCCATAGCGCCATGATCGCCTGCCTTGGCTGCGTTCGTGTGTTTTCATGCCGGCCCTTGGCTGTTTTAGGGCCAAACCCGCGTTGCGTGTCCGTCCTCATGATAAAAAAAACAGAACCTTGAAATCATACATGGACCAGAATACCGTTTACTAAAAAACGAAACTTCGTAATTTTGTATGGAGCCTCCATTGCATGTCGGGAATGGGGGCAGATAGCACAGGAGCATTGGTGGAACCCCGACCATTCCCAGACCAGTGCAGCCTGGTTCCGAACGGTTTCAAATGGTAATGGAAATGAGGCATAGGGTATATGCAGGGCTTCATGAATTGCAAACAGCTGTCCGAGGCTGAGGTCGAGAGAATATTTCTGATAACCTTGATAGTGATGATGACGATGATGAGCGGGGCTCAGGGGGTGGAGGTCCCTGGAAAATATTCCATGATAAATTAATCCCGGGATGCATGTGTTTGGGAGCCGTAGTGGAGTGGTTGGTGCACTGTTCTAACCACTATGAACCAGTCACCTGAGATCGATTCCCACTTACGACCAATAACAGTGGCATATATTTGAACCAGTCTGGTGCCTCTCCTTTGTCGACTCAGCCTTAATAGTTAGAGCCTGGTGCAGAACCTGGTGTAAACATCAGCACTCAGGAGACAAAGGCGGCCGGGCGTGGTATGGCCACCCACACCCTCGTGTACCATGCAGGCCTTGATCGGTGCTATTCGCGAACAGCACTTGTTGCAACCAGCCTGCGAAGGCTACACGGAGCATCTTTGTCTTTTGTGCGCGTGCACTCTGCGGGTGTGTGCAGCCAAAGCCCCAGCACGCCATCACGATCGCCGTGTCGTCCCGATCGCTCTTCGACATGTCCCTGGAGCGCGACATCTTCGACTCGCAGGGCGTGGAGGAGTACGTGCGCTACCAGACGGAGCACGAGGAGGAGCCGCTCCCCAAGGGGCCCGCCTTCCCCTTCGTGCAGGTGCGGGCCCCCCACAGAGGGCGGAGAGGAGGGGGGGACCCAACCATCGTCACCACCACCACCACCACACCAGCGCCACTCACGCACCCTCGCCGTCACTCTGCCACACCCGCGACAGCCACAACGCATCACCAGCTAGGCCACCGCAACAGCAGCGGCACGCAGACGCACAACCAGCCACACGACTATCCGAAACACTACCCACCCCCAATACCAGCATCACTGAACTCACAGTCAGCCTCACCTCCATCACCCAAACCACTATCCGGCTTCACCACTACAACCACTCGCTCCTCACACAATACACCCTAATCACTATCACGGCCACCACCATCACCACCACAAGCACTTGCTCAACACACAATACACCATAATCACCAACACGGCCCCCCCACCATCACCACCACAAGCACTTGCTCAACACACAATACATCCTAATCACTATCACGGCCACCACCATCACCAAAACCGCTCACTCAACACACAATATAACCTAATCACCAACACGACCACCGCCTCCAGCTGTCACTTCACTCACTATCATCGTCATCCGCCCTCAGGCCGACACCAACAGCACCAACGGAAGAGCTCCCTTGTCACTTAACCCTGACTTGAGCAGCCCGTCCCTCAACCAGACAGCCGTCTCCAGGTCAGGGACAGTGACAGGCGGTCGCCGATTCTCATGCAGCAACAAAAGCAGCAGCTGCGGCTGCCCGGAGCTCTATCCCTGCTTCACGTACGCAGCAGCAACCAGTCTCCTTCCAGCGAACACCCAGAACACAGGCGCACTCGCCGATTTCCCGAGCTTTTTGGAGCTTCTTGAGGAACTCTGAGCAAGGCTCCACGCCTCCGGATAGTGCTCCAACATATAATGTCCGTTCGCGGAATTTGCGCGCAGTAAAAGTGGATTATTACCACTGCTACTCTTACTGTTAATACTATGAGTATAATAACTATGCAGCTGTCTGTTGAAACACGGGGAACTTGCACGTCGGTGAGACACAACCATGGCAAGAACGGCCGCCTAAATTTAGATGCAGCCAGAGATTGCGACTGAAACTAATGCCCCTGCTTCAGCGCTGACTGATTTGACTGTTAGCTCGTGTGAATTGGATTGTGTTGGCGGCAGCAACAACGTTGAAATGGTGGAGCGGTGGTGGTGGTGGTGCGGTGGATTGCACACTGTGCCATGAAGCCATTGGCCTGAGTTTGATGCCGGCCACTGCTAACATCAGTGGCAAATAAATTGGTCTCTCTTCCCGGCCCATGGTGACGTAGGGTCAAACAACCTCCATGACTAACACAGTTTAGAGAGGCCTTCATCCAGCAGTGCATGGACAGAGTGCTTTAAAGTATTATTATTAAATGCTGTTAATGCACTTTCCAGAGAGCAATGCTCTGCCGTGTAAACATTAAATTTGGGCTGCCGTCATAAACTAAGCCATCCATAAACATCGATTATCTATGCAAGGTGGACGGAAGATGGCAATGCAGCAAGTGAGGTCGTAAACCGGTCCTTGTGGACTTCTGAATAATGTTTGCTGCTCATATGAGTGGTGGGTGTTATCCGGGTGCTCGGGGGTTTTCTCTCACATGAAGCACAATAAACGTTCCGAACTTATGACAAAGCTTTCCAATTCTGGACCCTCCAGGAAAACCCTCTGGAGTCTCAGCGACACTCTCCGTCGCGTTCTGCATGTGCGTGGGAAGGATGACCAGGACTTCCATTACTAAATACGGAAACATTAAGTGTGCATACCGTTTTTCGTACAGATGTAGTGACTGACTAAGAGACACCACTAAGTAGGAGGCACTCTGGTTTATTAACACGGCCTGACAGTAACACTTAGTAACAAAAGTTCCATGGTCAGGACAGCTGGTAGACTGCCTGACTGGCGACGCCGAGATGGTGAAGACGAAGACGACGGTGAAGACTCCAGCAGCAGCACGACGGTGATCCCACTCCAAACGACAGCCCCGAGGTCCCCTCCCGGGGGCCCTCATATACTGTCAGCGTGGCCTGGCTCCGCCCCCGGCCACGCCCCCCTTCTGGAACCTACAAGCGGGTTCTCGATGTGCCCTTTCCGTAACCTTTCCCTGACATCCCTCTCCGGTCTATCACGCGACCTGCTGTCAGTCAGGGCTGCTGTAAGCTGCATATCACCTTCCCTGCCAGCAGCCAGCGCTATGCTGCTACGTGTCCGATTCTATGTCACTACACAGACATGCGCAGGGCCTCAATCCACTGCCAGATGAAGGTCTTACAATACCATAATCGACCATGGTTATTCATTGACCATACTTCCAAACCAGAGGACCGGAGAAAAATCCACACGACCATAGGGAAAACACACAAACTCCTAATATACAGCAGGCATCGTCAGGGTCAAGATGGAACCCACGACCTCCTGTATATCGCGGCGCCCCTCGGTTGTTAACACTTCGACTGCGCTGCGTCTCTCCTTGGGCTTTCCCCCCACCGGTCTGCTGCTCCCTCTGCCTCGGTTGCCCCTCACCACCTCCTCCCACCCTCAGGCGCTAGAGAACGTGAACGTTCGCTTGCGGGAGCTCTACCCGCAGAGCGACGAGCTCTTCGACATCCTCCTCATCTCGCACAACCACGCGCAGGTCGGCGTGCGGTTCATCAACTCCATCAACCACTACGGTACGATCCCTGGGGCGTCACACACCACCGCGAAAACAAAGACAAAGATCCCCCCGTGTAGCCTGAATAGACTGTTGGGGCAAGTGCTGTTAACGAGCACCTATGAAGGCCGGCACGGCACACGAGGGGCTGGGTGGCCAGCAACCACGCCCGACCGCCTTTGTCTCCCTAGTGGCGATGTTTACACACCGCACTAGGTAGTCATTTGAGTCTGAGCCGACCTAGGGGAGGCCCAGAACCGGTTCAGATCATCGTTAATGGTGTTGGCGATGAGCGGTAATCGAACTCGGGCCGCCGGGTTTGCAGCGCAGCGCACCCCTGCACTACTGCTCCGCACCCACACACACCGCAACACCACCACGCCACCCACACACACACCGCAACACCACCACGTCACCCACACACACCGCAACACCACCACGTCACCCACACACACCGCAACACCACCACATCACCCCCACACACACCGCAACACCACCACGTCACCCACACACACCGCAACACCACCACGTCACCCACACACACCGCAACACCACCACGTCACCCACACACACCGCAACACCACCACGTCACCCACACACACCGCAACACCACCCCGTCACACACACACCGCAACACCACCACGTCACCCCCACACACACCGCAACACCACCACGTCACACACACACACCGCAACACCACCACGTCACCCCCACACACACCGCAACACCACCACGTCACCCACACACACCGCAACACCACCCCGTCACACATACACCGCAACACCACCACGTCACCCACACACACCGCAACACCACCACGTCACCCCCACACACACCGCAACACCACCACGTCACCCACACACACCGCAACACCACCCCGTCACACACACACCGCAACACCACCACGTCACCCACACACACCGCAACACCACCACGTCACCCACACACACACCGCAACACCACCACGTCACCCCCACACACACCGCAACACCACCACGTCACCCACAGACACCGCAACACCACCCCGTCACCCACACACACCGCAACACCACCACGTCACCCACACACACACCGCAACACCACCACGTCACCCACACACACCGCAACACCACCCCGTCACCCACACACCGCAACACCACCACGTCACCCACACACACCGCAACACCACCACGTCACCCACACACACACCGCAACACCACCACGTCACACACACACACCGAAACACCACCCCGTCACACACACACACCGCAACACCACCACGTCACCCACACACACCGCAACACCACCACGTCACCCACGCACACCGCAACACCACCACGTCACCTACACACACCGCAACACCACCACGTCACCCACACACACCGAAACACCACCCCGTCACCCACACACACACCGCAACACCACCACGTCACCCACACACACCATAACACCACCACTCACCCCACTCGCTACACCACTGCCGTGCACTACCCACTGCCAGCAGCTGTACGCATGTGCCGTCCACCTTGCCCTACCCACACTGCACTGCCAATGCCACACTTCCCACAAGCTTTAAGTAAATCACGCTTGCTGTTGCTGCTACCATAGCTGCTGTTGCTACAGCTGCTGATATTTTCACTGTCGTTACTTCTGCTGGTACTACCTCTGCTGCTCTTATTCTGCCGCTACCACTGCTTTTATTACGGCTGCTATTACTGTTATCACCGTTGCTGGTACTGCTTCTGCTATTGCTGCTGCTCTTGCTGCTGCTGTTGCTTCACGTACATGCGGAGAAATGCGACATGTGTTGCTTCCCGCACGACATCCACGGACGTCTGACCCCGGGCTGTAAATAGCCACTACCTTCCGGTGCCACTTTACCAGCTCCACTATTAACATCTCCACTCACGCGCCTGGCGTTTGCTCACATTCAGTCAGTCGTTTGAATACTCGATGGGACAGATGGCTGCAGGTGATTCAGACTTCTTAAAACAAAGTGCCCCGTTGCAAACACGATACACGGCACGATGATGATGATGATGACAATGCTGCCAACGTGTAACGCTGCGCCGCCGCACGGCGTTCACTCGCTCTCGCAGAGAGAGGACGAGTCCGAGGCACAAGGAGGAGCCATAGACGAGCGGAAAGGTCAGCAGCAGCCAGGCTGTGAGCTCGGTACTACCAACGCATTCCCAAGCTCTGCGTTCCTCTGTATATGATTGTGTGATCAGCCGATTAATTGGTGTTTACACATGTGGAAGGAAATCGGAGCACCCGGAGAAAAGTACACGTGCAAGGGGGAAACACGCTATCCCATACAGACGGAACAGGTGAAGTGCACAGTTTTTTTTTCCATACCGGCGCCGTACCACCAGGGTACGTATCCTCCTCGATGCCCACGGAGAGGGAGTTGCACAACAATCGTGCGATCCACCAACCCTCTCTGCCTCCACAGTGCTGAATAATGACATTTAGGATGCTGTGAATAAGTTTTAAGTAAAAATAAGCAACATTTAACATATTCCATCCATTCCAGGCTAGAATCAAGAACAGTGTATGAACACACTGGCTTTATGTGCCCCGGTTTCGTTAGAAACTAAGCAGGGTTGAGCCTAATTACCATTTCGGGGAGAGGTTGCCTGGGCATATCGATTGTCGTGGGTTTGTGCTATGAGGTGGCCAGCAGTGCAGAAACACATTCCTGAACCCATCTGTGTAGTGTCACCCCCTCGTATGCATGGTGGGTTTTCTCCAGATTTCTCTGGTTTCCTTCTGGCTTCTATACAAAGTCAAACGCTCGGTAATGGAAGTGGCCAACATCCCGATGCAACAAGACACTTCTGAAACGCAGTCTTGAAACTCACGGAGGCTTGCCTGTGTACATAAGCATAATATACGAAATATTATCGTTATTATCACTATTATCCATAAAAGTGTTTTTAGTTCGGCCACGTAATGATGTGGCCACATTTTTTTGTTGACAGACAAAAATGTTAATTGTCACGTTTAAGAAACGTTTAACGCTATGATTATAATTGTTTCAGCTCGCTCAACGGTGAGTTTAAAACAATTCTCACAGCCAAATTTAGCGATAAGAATACGACGTTCGGCTAGAAACTGTGCCCAGCATCCTTCGGTCAAGAAACCAGAAGGGCCGAAAGACGTTATGTTAACGTTCTCCTTCATTCATTCTTTCATTGTTACATATTTAACGTGAACATATTGAACTTAAAAAAGGACATGCAGAGGCACGCGAGAATAAATTAGAGAGAGAGAGAAAAGCATTCAGAGTCTGACAGAAGGATGGCACAGACACCGATGTGCGGCACAGCGAGAGAGGAGGAGGGAGTGAATGCCAGAAGCCTGGAGCTGCAACAGGGTGTCTATGTGAGTCTGTGGGTCTCCGTGTGGGTCTATGGGTCTCTGTGGGTCTGTGGGTTTCTATGTGGGTCTATGGGTCTCTGTATGAGTCTAATGGTCTCTACGTGAGTCGATGGGTCTCTGTGTGAGTCTGTGAATCTCTGTGTGGGTCTATGGGTCTCTGTGGGTCTATGGGTTGCTATGTGGGCCTATGGGTCTCTGTGTGGGTCTATGGATCTCTGTGTGGGTCTATGGGTCTCTGTGTGGGTCTGTGGGCATTAGTCTATGTTGGGAGTGAATTGCAGATGACCGGAGTGGTGAAAGGGAAGCACCGATCACCTCGTCTGGTTCGAGAGACTCGGGGCTTGACAAGGAGGAAGTGGAGGCCTATTTGAGGCATATCGGAGGTTGCGAGATGAAATGTTCGATGAGACAGCAGGGGCTGAACAGTCCGGTTGACCCAGAGCGTGTGTGTGTGCACACGGCATGCGGTTTGTGCTGGACGCTCAGGTCTCAACATCGAGCGCTTCTGCCTGACGGGAGGGAACAGCCCCATCGGGTACCTGGAGGCCTACAACACCAACCTCTATCTGTCGGCCGATGAGGAGAAGGTGCAGGAGGCCCTGGCAGAAGGTACGCGCACCTTTCGCCGGTTCTCACCCACCACTCAGGCGATGGTGGTGATGATGGTGTCAAATTGGTTCCGTATAACATTGATGTTGGTGGTGGTGATGATGCCATATGGAGGAATGGCATCGTTTTTTGGGTTGACGTTCAGTTATCAAATCTGGTCAAGAAGAGCTTTGGGAGATGCGATGATTATTTGTCATGTGTATGATGATGGTGGTGTTGAGGGTGGTGGTGATTATGATCATGGATTATGGGTATATGGGTTTGTTGGTTGATTGAGGATGAGTAGGTGTGGCCATGATGAAGGTGACATTGATAATGATGACGAAGTGAATCATGGTAGTAACGGTTAGCACACTGGACTTGCAATCCAGAGGTGGCCTGTTTGACTTTCCGGCGCGGGCACCCAGCGGTGTAAATATGTCTGGGCCAGCATGGACGAGTAGGGCAGATACCCTCGAGAGTAGTTCTCCACGCCACGAGCGGCGGTGTGCGGCAGTAATCGCAGGGCTGCTCCTTAAACTCTGTATGACGGTGACAACGGTGGCGATGACAGCAACTCCTCAGGCCTGCTTTCCCCCACGCAGCCGCCTGCATAAACACCTCTATGTGTCCTCACTGCCCATGCCCAGGGCTTCACCTCTGTCTGAAAAATATATAAAGTATAAATAAAAAAATGTAAAAGTAGCTGGCAAAGACCGGCAATAAGATTGGCAAGTGACCAGTGGCAACAACCACGGAGAGAGAGGGGCATGGTGGATGTGGTGCGCTGGGCATGGCACAAACGAATCCCCGGCCGTGCCGCGTGGGCAGGCATCGCTGCGGCCACAATGTTCAGCCCCGGCGCGGGGGTACAGGTGGCGCCCGGGACAAAGCAGCTGCGTGTGGCGTTTGACGGTGACGCGGTGCTCTTCTCGGATGAGTCGGAGAGGATCGTCAAGGAGCACGGCCTCGACTCCTTCTTCGAGCATGAGAAGAAGAACGTCGACCAGCCCCTCTCGCAGGTGCCGCCCCCCTCACCCGCGTCACACTGTCAAGTGCCGCCCCCCTCACCCGCGTCACACTGTCAAGTGCCGCCCGCCTCACCCGCGTCACAATCTCAGGTGCCGCCCCCTCACCCGTGTCATATTCAGGTGCCGCCCCCCCACGTCACATGCAGGGGCTGCCCATCTATTTAGACATTGCTACCCCTCCCAAGTTCAAGCAATCTGCCACCGCCCTGGGCAAATTCCTACATTGCCTAAAGGCAGCACTGCCTGGGCATCCAACCAACCACCAGCACTCGTCCACACCTTCTTCCCAGAGCAGAGACAGACTCGGAGACAACCTCAAACCATGCTTATTAACAGCTGTAGGTGGCCTGCACGAGCGCTCCCGCCTGCGCTCCCCTCGCACGGAGCCGGCCCCACCCAGCCACTCTCTCCGTCCCCTCTGCCATCCGCACTGCAGGGCCCCTTCAAGGGCTTCGCGGAGGCCCTGGGGCGGATCCAGCGCAAGTTCTATGCCAAGGGCGAGCGCCTCACCTGCCCGATCCGCACGTACTTGGTGACGGCGCGCAGCGCGGCCAGTTCGGGCGGCCGTGCGCTCAAGACCCTGCGCAGCTGGGGCCTGGAGCTGGACGAGGCGCTCTTCCTCGCCGGCGCGCCCAAGGGGCCGCTGCTCGAGAAGATCCGCCCGCACATTTTCTTCGACGACCAGATGTTCCACATCGAGGGCGCCAAGGAGCACGGCACAGTGGCGGCGCACGTCCCATTCGGCGTAGCGCAGAGGAGGAGCCGCCAGGCCACCCCACCCCGAGATCCCGCCTAGGGGTCACGGATTAGGGTCAGCGGAGCGGGCCCAGTGCTCGTACATGCTGTGGTTCAGCCTCCACACGGCAGGTCACAACAACTCACTCACCCTCACCCACTCACCCACACACTCACCCAATCACTCATTCACCCACCCACTCGCTCACCGACTAACCCACGGACTCACTCACTCACCCACTCACCCACACACTCACCCACTCACCCACCCACTCAATGCTACACTGACCCACTCACTCACCCACCTACCCACTCACAACACTGCAGGTCACAACGCATATCTTTCTGCTTTTTCCCTCGCACTGATCGACTTTGGAAATCCCTCCCAACGTCTCTGTCGCCCCAGCTCTTACTTGGTTTAAGAACTTGCTACACTCTCATCGATTACAACTTAAATGGTGCTGGTTGTTGCTGGCCGCTTGACGTGTTGGGCCTTTGGGCCTGCGCTCTCCAACTGTGTAAAAACAAAGAGGCTGGTACTGGGCCAACGAGCTACCAGGCTTGTGCCTGGTAGAGGCCAGTTCTTGGAGTTTGGCTCCAGTTGTGTATGCTGACTTCATTCACCCGGCAAATACGTTGTGCTACTTTAAATCTGTGAATGGATATGTTTTTTTTTATGCTTATTCGTCAATTTAAAAGTACTGGTGTCAACTTAAGAACATTTTTAATTGCACCGCAGTATAGAATGTGATCTGCAACTGTGGGAAGTCCTTTAAAGCTCTCTGCCTTTCTTCCTTCTCTGTCTATTCCGAAGAAGCGACATTACCCGAAAAGTTAACAGGGCAGTGAATAATGAGGGATGTGAACTGTGAGGGATGTGGTGAGTTTGTTTTTGAGAGAAACAGAAATAACTTTAATCGTTCTGATAGCTATAGGCTTAGTGCGGCTTGGAAGCGTATTATTAAATAATACATATTACAATTCCTTATAGGGGAAACACATGTTACTTAACAGATTACTAATGTAGAATATAATCACAATAACACACATTACAACTAATTACTAACCTACAACTCATTACTAATCATAACCATTGACTGATTACCAATCGATTATATAATTACAATACCCCCCCTCCGCCTCAAATCACTGCACCTGAAATGAGTTAAATGATGACGTCACCCTGCTGCTCTATTTAAGACCGAGAGCAAGTGAGGGCTTTACCATTCTAGCGAATTGCCCGATGATGCTGGATGTAATTACCAGCGAAACGCCGTATTCAAACTGTAAATGTTGTGGATTCACTCTTCAACACACCGGTGGGCTAAAATAGTGAACTAATTGTCTTTTGTCAACGTGACACTTTTTTTGCTGATTGGCCGTGTCGGGTGGTGGATGGTTACGACATATTTATAAATAACGCGATCTAACCCAAAAACCTTTATTATGAATAATATTGGTCGCAAAAGCCTACGTGTTAAATTGTTGTTTGCCGTCTTGGATGGGCCGGGCATGTGGTGGACGTACTGCACGGCCACCCACACATCTGGGGGCTTCTTACATCCACAGTGGAGTTATGTTCATCGGCCCACGGTGAATTTTAAACTCAAAGATAAACATTTAGTTCATGGGCCCAAGTAAAATTGGCACCACCTGAGGTGGCTTACTATCAAAGTACGGTTGATAAAGTTAATTATGTAACAAGCTGTATGCATTTTACATGGTATTCACATTATTCGCTGTGACTGGACTTATAAAAAAAAAACATTTAATTTGCGAAGGATTTGCTGCTTCAGGTGGTCGAGACCAATGATATACTGTATCTCATATGGGGCCATGGCATATTATAACTGTGATGTAATAATATTGACTTAAAACTTTCGTGACTGCAGGAATTCATATTCTTGGTTCTTTCGGTAAATTCACGTAGATAGAAAATAAAAAGTAATAAAAAATGTAATTAAAAATAGTAAAATAATAAATTGAAAATAATGAAAGCAAAGAACCCACGGCGTTTCGATGAAGGCCGCCTGTGTTGCGATCGAAACATCGTGGGTTTATTTTATTTTTTTATTTTCAATTTATCATTTTACTATTTTTAATAACATTTTATTTTATTATTTTTTATTTTCTATCTACGTGAATTTCCCGAAAGGACCAAGAATGTGTAATAATACTGTAATACGCTTATGCCGGAGAGCACCACTGAATCGCACCGCGTTGGATTGTTTTGCCGATTGCAGTGCAGCCAGTGTGTGTCCATGTGAGGAGCTACTCGAGTGCCAGGAGGAGCCCCACGTTTGTGAACCGACTTGCTGTACTGCCATCTCCAGAACACTTCGCTGCCCATCGAAATTCGGAGTTTCACACAGTTACGCGATCCATCAACCCTTGGCTTCCTAAGCAACCGCAGTAAACATTAAACATACGTAATTTGAGCAGAGTCTGCCAATGCATTATGAGGCCAGTGTAGAGAAAGTCCTGAATGGCAGAACAGCGGTTGGTGCACTGCACTATGAGCCCAGCAACCCGAGGTCAGGTCCCTGCGGGGGTGGTAAGTGTTTATCTGAACCAGTTCTCGACCTCTCATAGGTCGACTCAGCCTTAAATGAGTACCCGGTACGACGAGTAAATATTAGCACTGGAGAGACGAAGGCAGCTGGGCGTGGTGCTTGCCACCTCACCCCGTTGTTCACCTCTCTGGTCTTAACGTGCGCTCACTGACATAGCCAACTCTAGACAATCTATATGGCTTTACAGATACTCTTTGTGTGTCACCCACTAGCAGCACTTGCTGCAGCAATCTGCGAAAGTCTATAAGGGGGATCTTTGGCTTTGTGTCGGAGTGGACTTGAACAGCAATGACAGATTTTGCATCCCCTGGGTGGAATCTGGGGAATAGGAGCTGGGTTGAAGACGGTATGGAGAGGCTTTTTGGACCTGTGTCCTATTGTAATCATTATGCTGCTGGATATAAGTACATGCACGTGCGTGCGCGTCGAGTGGAGAGTCGTGGTGCAGTGGTTAGCACGCTACGCTACGAACCCGGTGAGCCGTATTCAATTGCCGGTGACAGCCGACATTGGTGATGAATATCTGAACCGATCCTGGGCCTCCCCTAGGTCGACTCATTACCTAACGTGGCATGTAAACATCAGCCCTGGGGAGACAAAAGCGGCCAGGTGTGGTGTTGGCCACTCACCCCCTCTTGTTTCACGCCGGCATTCATAGGGGTCGCAAACAGCACTTGCCCCAACAGTCTGTTGAGGCTATAGGGGGAATATTTTTCTTTGTGTTGCCTACATGGGTGTGCTCGTTTGTTTAAAAACATTGTGAATGTGCACAATTCACGCAAGTGTAGGAACTCTCATCAGTCACAACTATGGCAGCCACTTGCGATATGTTTTATTCATAACGTTAATACAAATATATAATCGATTCTTATTTGAAACACCGCTTTAATAACGGTACGTCATTTAATAATATCTGCCGAGGCGGGAGGATGTGACTTCCAGTGAAAAGGTTGGTTCACCATTGATTATTATTTTTGGTTAAAAAGTGACAGTGCTGATCTGTGTCGCCAAGACCCTCCACCACCAGATGCAGCCAAACACAGTCAACTAGCGCACAGTTGTATATCAATGCAAGTTTTTTTTAAGGGTACAACAAACTGCCAGTTTTGAGTCTAGTTTATATTTTTTATAATGCAAGGTAATGTATTTACCGTATTTACAAGGTGAAATGTTGGAACAGTCGTCACGTGACGTAAAATAGATTTCAAAAATAAGGTCATCACCTTTTTTTCACACAGGGTTTTAGATGGATAGATGTTTTACATTTTCATCGTTTCAGCCGTGGCTAAGACACCTGTCTGAATGTCACCGTGGCATTGGTGTTACTCAACAGCGGCACACGTGCGAAATATATTGTTGAAATATAAAATGTTAAAATATGGAATGTATAATCATGAGCAAGCATAGCCTTGCGCCTGTATGTCATTGAAAGGCTCCCCGTGTCTACGCGTTACAGTTACATGAGTAAACTGAGATGTGGAACACCGACAATAAGAATATCGCATCATTAATCGAGGGTTTTTTGGGGTTGGATCTCGTAAATATAAATGTGTCGTTAAACCCACCTCCACCCGATACAGCCAATTTATAAGGTGTGTCACGGTAATAAAACATGACAATTCGTTACTAGATCAGCACACCAGTGTGTTGGAGCGTAAACCCACAACATTTACAATTTGAGTAGTAGGTTGGAGCGTAAACCCACAACACCGGTGTGCTGAACTAATAACGAATTGGCATGTTTTGTTTACGGGACAAACCTTACTAATTGGCTGTGTCGGGTGGTGGTGGGTTTAACCACACATTTATACATCTTTACTTAAAGCTTTCGTGACTGCAGGAATTCATATTATTTGGGTCTTTCGGTAAAGTCACGTAGATAGGTTCAAATTAATACAAATAAAATAAACAAAAAACTACGACGTTTCGATCACAACACAAGCAATCGTCATAGTTTTTTGTTAGTTTTATTTGTATTAATTTGAACCTATCTACGTGACTTTACCGAAAGACCCGAAGAATATGGACACATTTATATTTACGCGATCTAACCCAAAAACAACTCTATAATGGATAATATTGGTCGCTAAAGCCTGCTAGGTGTTAAACTAACAGAAGAGCACTTATAATGAAGTGTGCATAACTCGGTGACGGGAGGCCTTCATCCAGCAGTGGATTGATAAAGGGCTGTACATTGTTGATATTTTATTTATACAAGTCTAGGTGGGTATTTATCATCGGTATATGTTCACGGAAAACTGTTCATATGTCAATTAAAATACGTAACTATTGTTATTTTACTTTAAAGGCGCCAGAGTGTAAAGTGTGATCGCCAACTGTGAACCGCTTTTGCTCTAAACAAGTGCTATTGCCCAAAACATCGGGCTAGTTAATTCTCCATAGTAGCGGATCATTTTTCCTGAAATTGTCATAGCCTGTATACACTATACAGTAGTTACAATGCCTAATCCGAGGTCTACAAGTATCACATTCATATGTCTGTATGTGTTCAAGTGTGTGCATCTTTAGGTAAACGTGTACAGTATTTCATTTGAGAGTGAGAAACCCGCGTACAGCGTTTGTACTTTCATTCAATAGTTATGATCAATTTATGTCAGAAGGTCGTGTTGATGGTGATGATGGCGAGATTTTTTAAGCCTTAATTAGATCACAAAATAATGTGTATTTGGTTGTTGTTTGGTCTTCAGTAATCTTCACAAGATCACGACTGAGATGACCACCGAGTTAAAGATGGAACGTTGGGTGAACGTTGGTCCAACTGTTGCAACCAACCACATGCCAACGTTGACTTAACGTCCCTGTTTACTGGGCTATATCACTGGTGGCTTAGCTGTGGAAGCCCCACGGGGTGTTCAGATGGTGTGGCGTGACCCGTCTGTGCAGGTGACTCATTGGGCCAGAGTGAACATCAATTCAGTATGTATCTCGCCTCGCATTTCAGGGGGCGGGGAGCAATGGGGAATGGGGTAGAGGTCGCCTTTGAAAATGTTCGCTGGCTTTGTTGATCTACGATGCGGTGGTGAATTATGGAAGTAATGATCCCACGGTGAGATGTATTTTTGAAATCTCTGGACACCCATGAATCCTGCATCCCGCGGCCCCACATCTGCCTGGCCACATTGGTCCAAGGGAATCTAATAATACATATTATAAATGTCGTTTATTTATCCAGGAAACCCTCGCAGAGACCCGTCACTCAATTTCAGGAAGGACTTGCCACGCGTTGGGATGTTTGGCCATTTCGACGTAAAAAGCTCCGCACAGACAAATTAATTAATCCACCACCATCTCATGGCCGTATTGCTTCTCAGGCCTACACCACCAAGTCACACTTCCATCAAAATACTAACCGGGTTCAACCCTGCTTAGCGTCCAAGATGTGATGAGATTGGGCGCATTCAACTCAGAAGGACTTGGTCGTACAGGCGCTATCATGCACGTCTCTGTTGCTACTGTCTCTGTGCCTGCTATTTTCATTAACACTAATTAAAACACCACCTCTCTGCCTTCCCACGCCGAATTTTAATCATCAGCGAACACGGTTCCCCCTGTATGGGAA